TTTTAGAAAGTAATATCTTTTTTTATTATCTTCGGGTTGGTAATATTATATAAACAGTTAAGCTAGCAAACCTTAGGAAAATTGATAATTAGTTATTTATTCTCTTCTTTCTCGAGGGCTCGAAGCCAACAGATATAATATTAATTTAATATGATTAAAATAATATATAGATTAAATAACTAATAATGAAATTAAAATAAGACCTAAAAGTTTAAATAATTTATAATAAAAATAACAAAGACAGGTATAACAGATAGAATATGAAAATCTTATAAATAATAAAAATATAAAAATATTAAAAAGTTAATACAGAGAATCCAGTATATAATAAGATAGAAAAATAATATAGAAAATTCAGAATATATCAATTTAACCGGTTAGATTATAAAATTATATATTATAATCTAAATAGGCCGGACATGCTACTATATATAAAAAAACAAAGTTTATAAATAAATTGATTATTATTAAGAACAAAAACTAGAGATTTGGCTAACCGAAGTTCTACTACCAGAGGCGGTTAAGAAGATGGCCACAGACATATCAGCAGAATATTATTATATATAATATATACCATATTAAATTTAATTTTTCTAATAAAATATTATTAATAAAAATTCTAACTACAGTAAATAGTAAAGCTATTTACAGTTAAATGATTATACTAAATAATCTAATTTAGTAGAAAAGTATAATTATTATATAATATTCTTTATTATAATAATTTATATTTATTATAATAATAATTTGTTTTTTAGATTAATACTAATTTAACAGACTTTTAATCTGGGTATTTATATTATTATATTATTTATTTCTTTTTTTCATATAATATATTATTCTAAAATCCTTTAAAAAAAGAGATTTCTTAAGAATTAGTTTTAAAATTAAAAAACTATTAATTTTGTTTATTTCTTTTGTCTTGTTTTTTCTGTCTTAATATCTTGCTTTTTCTATCTTATTCTTTGTCTTACTTTTTTATTTCTATATTTAATATCCCATACTTTGTATATAGAAGAAATAATAATTTAATATTATTATATTTTTTTTTATGTTTTATAAGCTTTTAGTCTAGTATATTAATAATAAGTTAGTAGTATATTTAGTACAATTTTAGATTATTTTTAAATATATTTTTTTATAATATTAAAAATTATTTTTTTAAATATTAATATTTTTTTCTCTACCGAGCTTGCGTTTTTTTAGATAATATAAAAACTAAAAATCCGACTGTTTTTTCAATTATTAAATTTATATTTAAATATATTTAATATTTATTATATCTATCCGTCTTTCTGTTTTATAATATCATTGTTTTTTATTTAGAATAATATGAATATAAAAATACTAAGATATATAAAATTAGAATATTAATTTATAATATTTTATAATATATTAAACAGCTGATATATTTAACAGCTGAACAAAAATATAATATATTATATAATTCATATTATTGGAATTTTAAAACTATTTAATTAATAGATATAATATTTAATATATTAAACTAGAATATTAACTGTCTAATACATCATAAAACTATTTAAGAATTTAAATATTTTATAGAATTCTTTTCTTAAAAATAGTATATATATTTTAACTAATTAAGCAGCTAGTACTTGGTATTAATCTAAATAAACTATTTAGCCATATAAAATTTAGATTAACTAGTATTATCTTATTATTTTTAATAAGATTTAGATTGATTAATATATTATTAAAACTTTTAACTATAACTGTAGATTTTTTTATACTAAGATTTCAAATATTAAAAACAGATTTAATATTTTTATAGACTTTTCTATAATAAAACTTTTAATAAGATATTAAGATATCTAATCTTATAAATATTAAAATAGATATTAAAAGTATTTATATTATTTATATAAGTTTTATATTTTTTAATTAAATTTAAATTCTCATATTTTTATAAAATTTCTTTTTTTTCCTATTTAACTATTTATAATTATAATATCTTTTAGTTTTATAGTTTCTTTTTCTGCAGCTTCTTTTTCTGTAGTTCTTTTTTATATTTTTTTTATTATTTTTAAAGTAATAATACTTATAGACTTAAATCTATTAGCTTTTGTATCTAATAAATATTTATTTTTTATATATTTAGACAGTAATAAATAATCTAAAAAACTATTTTTTTATTTTTTATTAAATTTTTATTCGCTTTTTCTCTTCTACTTTTTTATTATTTAATTTTTTATATTTTTTAATTTAATTATATCTATACCGGCTTCTGCAAATATTAAGTTTTAAAATATTAATATAAAAACTATTAATATAAAAAACACTGATATAATTACTAATAAAAAATAAAAATTAAAAATTTATAAAATATAAAAAAATAGTTTAATAAATAATAAATAGGTTAATATAATTTAGTTTTCATTATAATTTACTAATATTATAACAGAGCTAAAAAATAAACTAATATTTTTAAATTTTTAAATAGAAATATAATTAATATGACTAAAAAGAATATATAAAATATAAAAAATAAAACTAATATCAAAACAGAGAAAATAAAAAAAGAGACAACTAATATAATATACTTAGATTTTAAATTCTAATAATATTAATTATTACTTTTTTAATATAAAAACAGATTAGTATTTTGAATAATAAAAATATATTATATATTTTAAGAATATTAATCTTTTTATTTATTATATTAAAAATATAATTCGTATATATTAAAAATTTATAATATAAATAAATATTATTAGTTGTCTTTAAAATATAGTTTCTGATTAATATTTTATATTTAGTAAGTATAAAAATATATATAAATATATATATATTTTAAAACTAAAATACCCAAAGATTATTATATTAGATTTAAGTTTAGTATTATTTAAATATTTATTTATTTGCAAGCTACTATAATTTATAAATAAATAAATATTGTTATACAATACCTACTGCTACAGCAGCCTATATCTACCACTATGGCAGCCGCTTTGGGGTTGATACGGATTTGTCGGGATTTTAATCCAGATATCTATATTATTATATTGCTTACTTCTTCTTTTTATATAATATATTATTTTGAGATTCTTTAAAGAAGAAGATTTTTTAAAAATTAGTTTTAAAATTAATAAAAGACTATTTTTAATTATTTTACTTATTTTATTTAACCAGCATGTCTACTATATTAAGTAGTTTCTAATAATTTCTAATTCTTTTTACTTTTAGTTATTTAAGAAAAAATAATATATTATCTAATAAATCTTTGTTAGAATTATCTTAAGATACTTTATTTATTTTTAAATTATATTATCTAACCCAGACAGATATTCAAGAAGTATAAACTATTATTTATTAATTAGAATAGTTAAAGTAATTAAAAAAACAGATTTAAGTATTACAAACAGAATATAAAAATATTAAATTTTTAATAGAATTATAATAATACTATACTAGCTCGACCTTATTTTCTAAATAAGAAAAAAAAAATTAAACTTAAGAAAATTCTTATTTTCTTTCTTCGGTTTAGTTTATAATAGAGAACGGAGTGGATTTATAATTTATTATATATTTTTAAAAAAGCTTTTTAAAAATATTAAATAAAAAATTAAAAAATTCTAGCTGTAATTAGCTATTTAGATTTTATCTATTAGCAGAAATAGTACTAATATATTAATAAAAAATCCCCGGAAGACCGCCGAAATACTAAAAAATTATAGAATTACTTTATTTAATAGACTTTTTTTCTTATTTAAAATACAGTTATTTTATAGTCTAATATTATAAAACAGCTTGAACAGGCCTATCAGTAAATTTATTAGAATTTAAAAAAGTTTTATTTTTATTTAGATATTTTAGAGCGTTACTTCGAATCTAAATAAAATAATAAATATATATTAATCTTTTTTTTAAAGCTGGCACCGGAACTTAGTCGATATATTTATAAATATATATTAAAACTACCGGACTTCCGAGAGAAAATAGTATTTATTATTATTTATTATTAGAATATATTAAACCAAAAAAGAAAATAAGATCTAAAAAACTAAGAATACTATTTAAATAAGGCTTTTAGAAAATCCGGATCTTTGTAGTCTAATAATAAGTTTTTTTATTTAAATCTCCTCGAAACAGAAGAAATTAAAGAGAAGAAATCCTTTACTGTTATAAATATAATAATAAATATTATTTAACTAATCGATATTTTTATAGAAATAAAAATAGAACTAAATCAGAACTAATAAAAAAAAATAATAGTTAAAAAAGTCTTTATATTTTTAATAAACTGGTCTAAAATAGGAACTGTTATTTATTTTAATATATTTATTTATTTTAAAAATATACTTAAAATTTATATAGACTTGGATTCGTATACTAAGATTAATCTTATTAATTATTAATTTATTTAGTAATTTTATTTAAATACAGCCTATTTTATAGTCCTACTGGTTACTATAATTAATTATCTTATTATAAATATTTATAATATATAGAAAATTCTTATTACTACTACTAATTTTAGAAGAACTATATAATTATTTATAAAATATTATATAGCTATTAATTATAATCCAGATTTTTTTAAAAGTTCTATTTTATTTTTAATAACTATTTTAAAAAATCTATATATTTATTTATCTGTATAAAATCGACAGTAGTAGTATAAAATCTAAATATTAAAAGTTTTATTTTCTTATAAATTTATAAAAGCTTGCCGAAATCTTACTTATATTTATACTATTATTAAACTTTTAAAAAATATCTGATTATTAGAAAATAAAGTCTTTTTAAATTATTTATAAATTAGATTTAATAAAATTATATTATTTTCTAAGCTTCAAGATTTTATAAATATATTTTTTTTTAGTTATTTTTAATAATCTTTTTTTTATAGATTCTCGGATTATACTATTAATTTTAAAAATAACAAAATTTTATTATATAGATTTATTTATTTTTTATTTTAAGTTAAGCTCTAATCCCTTTGTTATTATATTAATAAAAATATTTGATTAGAATAAATTCAACTTTTTAAAAGTTCTATAGAAGTCTTTATTTTTTTTATACTAAAAAAAAATAAAAATTTTCGATTATATATAAATTACAGAAAACTTAATAAGATTTTAGTTAAGAATTACTATTTTTTATTTTTAATTTTAGAAATTTTAGATAAGATTATAGAAGCTAAATATTTCTTTAAACTAGATATTTAGAATATATATTACTAAATTTATATTAAATAGAAAAATAAATAGAAGATAATTTTTTAAACTTGTTATAAATATTTTAAATATCTAGTTATATTCTTTAAATTAACTAATACTTTAATTATATTTTAAAACTATATTTATTTAGCTTTCTATAATGTATTGGATGTTTTTTATATTATTTATTTAAATAATATTCTTATTTTTTTAAAGAACCGCTTTTTGTATATTCTTTATTTATATTAAGTATTAAAATACTTATAAAAAGCAGATCTTTATATTAAGCTATTAAAATATATTTTTTATTAAGATTATATTAAATTTCTAGAATATATTATATTTTTATATAATATATTAATAAATTTCCGATAAATATTTAATATTTTTATATAGTCGATACTAACTATATATTATAAAATCTAAATATTCTTAGAATTCTATAATTTTTATTAATATTTTATTAAAAATTATTTTTTAATTATATTGCCACTGATCTTTTTTTTAAAAAATACTTAAAATAAAAAGAAGCCTGGAAGAGTAGTATTAACTAGTAAAAAAATAATAATATTTTAACAGCTTTTTTATAATTTTAAAACTATATTTTTATTAAAATATTTTAATTTTTAATAAAAGATCCGGATAGAAATAAATATTTTTTAATAAAATATAATAGAAATACTGTCCCAGCCGGGTAATTATAAAGTATATTATTCTATTATATTCTAGTTAAAAAAGTTTAATAGTACTAAAACTTACTATTTAATCTCAGACTAAAAGCTTTTTACTATTATTTATTTATTTAAATATTAGTATTAATATTTTAAAGAACTATTATATACTATTAAAGTTTTTTTAAATTATTAAAATCTTTAAATTTTTATAAAACAGCCGAAGCTGAACAGCTGTTAAATTTAATAATATATATATTTTAATAATTATAATTTTATTATTTAATATTAGTTTGATAAATATAATCCTGCCGATCTACTATTAAAAATAAAAAAAAACTTAAAAGTTCTGTCTAATATAAAAATTTTAAAATTAATATAATATTAAATAGCTAATAAATTTTTTATAAGATTATAACTAGTTTTAAAAAAGTTCCAGCTGAAGTATAATAAAATATTTTTATAAAAAAATCCTAAATTCTATATCTACTAATATATATTAAATTTATTAGAATCTAAATATAATTAAACCAGTATAAAAATAGTTAGCTGGACTGTTAGAATAAAAATATTTTATAATTTATATATTAATATATTAGCAGTATTCCGAGTATATAAATATAAAAACTTATTATATTTTAAAACTGTTGGAATAAGCTTATTTTATAATAAATATATTAGTATATCAGCAGTATTTCGAGTATATAAAAATAAAAATTTATTTTATTTTAAAATTAATAAAAAATTATATTCTCTAATCGGAAGAATCTAAAACAGAGATATAAAAATATATTATTAAAAACTTACTATTTTAGAAGATAATTTTAGATCTAAATATTAAAGAATTAATAAGAATAATCTTATTATATATAAGTACTGCTTGTATATTTCTATAGAATAAAATTTTTAGTAATATTTATTAAATCTTTATTATAATAATTAGCTAGCAGATTATTTTAGGTAATTAAAAATAAAAATTTTTTTTAGAAGAAAGTTCTATTAGATAAATCTTTATAAAAATATAGTTATTTATATCAGAAAATGTTTTATATATTAAAAAGTTATATTTATTAAATATAAACTATATAACAAGCTTAAATTACTGCTGATTTCTAGCTAATTTTTTATTAAATTATTTATAAACTTTATTACAGATCTATCTTCTATTATAATAAAAAATAATATTTTAGATTTAATTCTTATTATTATAAATAGATTTATAAAATAGTATTAATTTTTATTTATTTTATATATTATAACTACTTCAGAACTTGCTGAACTTTTTTATAAAAAGATTAAATTCTAATTTAGACTATTCTAAAATATAATCTTAGATAAAAATTCTTTTTTTACTAGTAAATTTTGGTTTTAAATTACTTATTATATTTAAATTAAATTCTATTTATTAACAGTATTTCGATCCCAGACTGATAGTTAAACTAAAAAAATAAATTAGATTTTTAAATAATATTTTTAATACTTTATTAATAAAAATTATTTAAACTAGCTTATTTTATTATTTTTTGCTTAATTTACTTATAATAATACTCCGAATTTAACTACTAGTTATTTTTTTTAAAACTTTTTTAGATTATTTATCTAACTTTTATCTTTGTGCTGAGGTCGGTACTTTTTAAAAAAAGATTTCTATAATTAAAAATTAAATTAATAAACTATTTGTATTATAAAAAAATCTATAAAATTACTAGCAAAAAGCTAACAAAGCAATAAAAAAATATTATAATAAAAAATACTAGCTAATAATTTTTAAAAAGAAAAATCTTATAAAGCTGTCTACTAAAAATTTAAAAATTAAGATTTTATTTTAGAAGCTAGTTTTTTAATATATTAAACTTCTAAAAATTCTAACAGTTATTAAAAAATAAATATATTAAATTTCCCTGTCTAACTGCTATAGTCGAATTCATAATATTTTTTATATATTATTATTAGAATAATAAAAATCTAATATAAATTTATAAGACTAATTCTATTCTTTAGATTTAAAAAAGAAAGAAAAGTTTAAAATTAAAAATATTAAAAATAAACAGACTTTTAATAATAAATAATATTTTCTAGTTAAATAGACGGGCTGGCTAAGTAAATATAATAAATAGATTTTAAAAAAATTTATAAATAATATCCAGCAAGCTATTTAAAGCTATAAAAAATAAAAAAAAAATTAAAACAGCAGAAAATATTTTATTTTTAAATAAAAAAAAAATAACTAAATCTATATTAAATTACTATATTAAATATATTTAAAAATTAATGCTAAAATATATAATTAAAATAAAAATCTCTATAAACAAGCTGGATTTTTATTAAAAAACTATCGGATTAATCCAGCTAATTAGTACTATTTTTATAAAAGATAAGTAGTAAAAAACTAGATTTATTTTATTTTTTAAATATAGAAACTTTAGAAAAAGATTTTATTATTATATATAATATATATCTTGTAGTAAATCTTCTTAAAGAATATCTATTTAATTTTAATTTATAAAAAAAATCTATTATTTTCGGATATCAGGCAAAGTATAGTCGGATTATCTGTAATAAAATAACAGTTTATAATAAAAAAATAATAAAAAATTAGATTAAACTAGTAAATTAGTCTATAAATTAACAGAAAGTTAATAAAAAAATATATAATAATCTTAAACTTACTAGTACCAATTAGCTTATATTTATAGTAATAAACTAGTTCGGCTATTTTAAAACCGGTAGCTAAAACTAGAATTAAATAACTAATCTAAATATAAAATATTAGATTTTAATTTAGATTTTAATTAAAGATAGTATAGTCGATAAAAAACTTCTAGCTTTAGTTTAAAATTTATAAAAACTTAAAAACATTTTTTAGTATACTAACTAAAGTCTAGTTTTTATTAGTTTAAAAAATCCACCGAAAAGCTATTAAAATATATTTAGTAATAAATCTAATTTTTATTAAAATATTATTTATATACTACAGATATTATAGTATTAAAAATACAGCTAGATATAAAATTTTCTGTATTAATAATATTAAAATTCTTAATACTAATTTTTAAGTAATATAAATAAAAAAAGATTTTAAACACAATAGGTATATCAGCTAAATAATAATAAATAGTTATTAGTATTATATTAAAAAATAATAAAAATAAAAATTTTAAAAAAGTAAATTAACAAATAAAATATAAAATAAATAATAAAAATAAGGGCGAAAATAACGAGAAAAAAAAGATATAAAGAAGATTTAATAGAAAATCGAAATATAAAAATAAATAAAAATATATTAATCTTCTTTATTTATATATATATTTTACGTCAGATTCTGATCAGATTATTAATAAAATATATATTTTATTTACTGTTCTAGAATCTTTTATTTATAAAATATATAATTTATTAAATAATTCTTTTATTATTACAGCACCGAACTTTATTATTTAAAAAATATTATTAATAGAAATATCTAATTAGAATAAACAGTAAAGCTATTCGCGGCTATATTATTATATTAAATAACCCGGCTTAGCAGAAGAGTATAATTATTATATAATATTTACTATTATAATAGTTTATATCTACTATTATAGCAGCTGTTTCGGGATTAATATAGATTTATTAGAATTTTAATCCGGATATTTATATTATTATATTACTTATTTCTTCTTTTTATATAATATATTATTCTGAGATTCTTTAGAGAAGGAGATTTCTTAAGAATTAGTTTTAAAATTAATAGAAGACTGCTTTTAACTATCTTGCTTGTCTTGCCTAACTAGAGTGGATTAACCTGACTGTTATACCTTAACCTTAACCTAACCATAACCTGGCGGTCAGGTTAAGGTACAAAAAAATTTTAACTGTATAGTTACAGTTAGGTTAAGATATAACTATTATTTTAACCGTTTATACCTGCCGGTCAGAAAGATTAGGTATAGCAGGTAGGTTAATAACCGTAGGTTAATTAGTAATATATATATTTCTTTTATACAAATAATATACAAAGTATAATATACTTTTAATTATAGTATAATAATATTATTTAGATTTAGCTTATTTACTCGATCTATTTAATTTATTTAACTTATTTAATTTATTTGATCTATTCGATCTGCTCGACTTTTTTTTCTGTAGTTCCGAGGGATATACTACACTTTAAAAAAAATATTTATAAAATCTAGTATAAGAAATATAAAATTTAATATTAAATAAACTAATAAGATTATACTACTCTTTATACTGTTCAGAATAATAATTATAATAGTAAAAAAATTAAGAAGACCGGGTCTCTATCTCTATCTAAGTATATATAATATTCGAAGACTTAAATAAAGCTAGCTT